TGGCTTATGTTTTGAAAGCATTGTTGATCCATATGATGGCCTTGATTTAATTTGGATGATCAAAATTAATTAAATTGAAATACGTTATATGCAAGTTGACGACCACTTCTTTGAAAGTACATAGACTTTCACGAAGCACTCAATATGGATATTATTTAAGAGATAAATGAATAGAACTATAAAAGAGTTGCTGAATTCTAAGTTCAAATATAACCCAAGAATGTGGGGGGTTAAATTTAATGCTTGTGGACTTGAAATGGAAAGTTCAAAACTTGTGGATGCAATATTACTGGATTGCATATATATTCCTAATTGAGAAATTGCGAGGGTAACTCAGATTAACAATCACATTTGCTTCTATCTTAGAATCATAGAAAGATATCTATGAAGGTGAAAAGATAGAAAACCCTTATACTAATTATAAGGATGATATACACTAAGTTTAAAGTAGATAAAATGTGTTATAAAGCCGATTATGGCGTTTGTCTAGACATGCAAGAACAATTGGAATATATGAAAAATATTCATAAAGTTCAAATGCATGGTAATGTTTCAATGATAATATTGAATACCCATGATTTTGAAATCCACTAGTAAAAGTGATTGACTAGTGTAGTGTTTGATAGAAATCCTCCAACCGTGCTTGAAAATTGATAAAGCTAATGAGGCATATAGCTTCATGAGAAGATTTCTTGGTGGCGGCAATTTGCATCTATCAAATAAATCGATCGTTGGCTAGCTATATTTGATAAGATACTAAGTCACATGTAATGGTAGATTTAGACGTATAAGTCATAGACATAATACCATTAAGCAGTTGATCTCAACGGTGTAAACTCGTGGTACCTTTAAAAGAGATTTACTAAAAGAGATCAAGAAAACTGCATATCGAAGGGAATGTGATTGAAGCCTACTACGTTAGAGTTCTTGTAATGGTAACCCTACCTTGTTGACTGAAGATCCCAAGATCTTGGTTCAAAGAGACAACTAAGTTATGAGAATTCCATGAAGCACTTAGGAAAATAATTTTCTAACTCATTCCTATGATATTAAAGTGCTTTCTACAGAGTTGCAAGAGGTTAAAATAATCTTTTAATGATTCTTATATCTTGATTAAATCAAGTGGAGTAGGGCAAAATACTCTTAATAGGAGGTCAACTATGTGAGTGTGAAGTGTGACCGCTTCAATGAGAATTATTCAAGGCTTAAATTCTCTAAACACTCGTAGAACTAAGAAGGGTTCAGGGCCAAAATGAACCATGTACGGTTTAAGGAAGACATTGTGTGAGTATCGTTGTCTTGGCTTACACTAAAGGCTGAATGGTTCAAGACATCACGTTCACCAATTAGCCGAGTAAGTCCGATAGTATTTCACTAAGGGAAGTTCAAGGCCAGAAGCTACCTTCCCCGATGCAGTGTTTTTTTGCATCCTCTCTACATTGCATCATATCACCGCATTTACATATGTGTACCCAATTTCCATTCATGTGGGGGATTGTAGGAATTTGTTCAAATAATTAACCAAAAATTGAAAAATGAAAAGGTGTGTAAAAGTGGAAAATGAAAATGTATGACTACGTGTCAATTTCGATCAAATATTCGAACTTGATCCGATGGTCAAATTACAAAAGTAAATAGAAATACTTATTCTACTCGTCGAGTAGATCGTCGTGGTATATTTGAAATTTCGAAACCAATTCCGGATGAATGAGAAATTGCGAACCAAAATTGAAAGAAATGAAGTGTTGCAACTTTTTGAAATGATGCAGGTTTTGACCAAGTGTTGCAACTTTTCGAAAGGATGCATATTTTGGTCCACACTATTTCATTTGTACCCTTTCTACATCTATAAATAGGACCCTATGAACATGATTTTGGGTACACCAATTGTATTGAGCATTCATTCTCCTCTTGCAATTCTTTCCTTTCTAATTTCATAGCATTTTCATGTATTTTCTTGGTAGAGAGGGAATTCCGTTCGAGTTCGCTGGTCGAAATCATTTGGAGTGCTCCTATGGCTTAACGTGGTCGTTGTATTTTTGGAGATGATTGTCGAAAAACCGTTAGCATCGATGCGGGGCAAATTCATCTTTAGGAAAGAGTTATACTCGCCTCGGTCAATCGCATCACTTGCATCTAATCTTTCTTCCTTCATTTTCTGATTTCTCTTAATTATGATTTGATTTCAGAAACTAAGTAACATTATTTACATGTTTGTTCTGCGAAATTTGATTCAAAAGAATAATTTGCTTTCGTTCAAAGATCGAAAAGGATGAATCCATATTCATGCATTTGAATTCGGTAACTATTATTGTTTTGCTTCTCAAATTCTATTTTGGTAAATCGAAATTACGTTTCGATTTCACGCAAATAAACGGTATGCTTTTACGAATATAATATGCACATAATCGGTGTATTCCCCAACAGATAATTGAAAGATTTGATCATTGGTTTTAGGATTAGTGGTTAGAAAATGGAACCCAAATGTAATTTAAATTACATCCAAATGACTTTAAGATTCCCAAACTTTTTTTCACCGAATTCCCACATTGACATGCCATAAAATGTGTATAAATTAAGCCCCTATTCGATAACAATTAAATTTTCCATGTTTTTGCTTCAATTTTTGGGATCATTATGGGATGCCAACGTAGTCAAAATGTTGTATTTTTAATACCATTTTAAAGTGTACACAGCTTAGTTTTTCACTTCGTTAACAACACATGAAACGACCAACTGTAGCGAATTGTAAACGCGTCAAAGTAAACCGTTTCAAACTAATATTTCAAGAATTTCAATAATGTGCTAACTTTAAAGATTTTTCGATGATCATACGCTAGCCGAATTTATAAATCGCCTACGTCATCTCGAAACGAGTTTCGAGAACTATATCATAGGTATCGAATGATCCAAACAGTTATTGAAAATAGTTAAATATGCATCAAACGTGCATCTTAAAAAAAGGCGTCTAGCTCTTCATATGGTCTACTTTGACGGGTCATAACATTTGCTACAATTTTTAGGACCAAAAACAAGTAGCCTTTATATTACCATATATGATGTTGATTTCATTTAAAGTATGCCACACACTTACATGTGATCTCATTGAGATTTCAATATGTAATAAGTAAGACATATGAGCACGATATTATGAAGCATAATTGATAGAGAGGAAGAGATATGGAAGACTAAAGTTGGAGGAAGAAATATAGCGAACGTCAATGTGCTAGTTTTGATCTTCACCTCTATTTTGCATGATTAATTGTTCCCCTAACTCAAAATGTCTAAGTCATCACCGATTATACGAAACCAAAAGATTGAAATACTGTCGAGGAAAATTCTTAATAGAATTGTATTCATAACAAACAAACAACACTGACCCCATACCCCTTTAAAATATCAATTTAATATGAAAACAAGCTTATTATTAAAAGTTGGAAAATTCCTCATGTACATGGATTCTTTTATAGAATTCATAGAGCAGCACCTGATTTGTAGACAGATTTTTTATATTTTGTCATTTGTCAATAAATCAGTGCCTTGTGAAACCCTGTAAGGTTTTTGTGAAAATTCTCTCTACTTGTAGCATTGCTCTTAAAGTTTTAGTTTGATATGTGAATTGAAAGGTTGTTTGACATGGATTTTTAAGGATTTTTTTTTTTCGAAAACTTATCCTTAAAAGCGGGAAAATTTATGAATTTAATAAAAAATGTGCTTAAAAATGAATTTGAAAAAATCTTTGACAAAGTAGTACTGAGTAGAAATAAAAAGTAAAAAATGTTTATTTTGTAATACCTATCAGGAGTCCCATGTCAAAGAAAAAGACTTTTTTTATGTCCTGACAAATATATTATGGTCAAATTAATTCTCCCCGAGTGCCCACAATGACAATTGTTTTGCAATAATTCCTTGGTATAATAGTAAGATGGTGAACGATTTTTATGTTATTGAGCAATAAATAATTTATATCTATTTGAAATTTAATTTCAAAGAATACGAAAGAGGGTAGAAGTCCAACATATTAGAAAGATTATAACAAGATAACAAATTTTGTATAGCTCTGGGATGAAGATGTTTTCGAGTCTAATGAAACTAGGTTATAGTATGAGCATGACAATGAAGTTGAGATAAATAGTTTTTTGAACGTCCTTAGCAATAAGAATGTTCCTTCTAGTTCATTTTAAATTATTTCCTATAAAAAAAATTCTTAAATAGCCCAGTTTAACTTAAAGATCTTGAATGATGTAACTCATATAATTTTGTCACATTGAAGTTTGAAGACATTGAGCACTTGTGACTTTTTCTAACAATACAATGATTCGACCAATTGGACGATGATTTGAAATGAAAACTAAACTTTTTTAGTAGTTGAGTTTCAAGTTAACTATAGGATGCGACTCAATCGAATTAGACTCAATCGAATTAAACTTTCATGTAAATTTTATTTCCTTACCTTGAGAAAAAGAAAGGAACAATTTCATATATGGAAAATAATCAAACTCTGATGAAAGAAAAATATATATATACATGGAAGAAAATCCAAGTCTACTGGTCAAAAGCTCATTTAATATTCCTTTATTTCTTCAAATAAAACATCAATAAATTTGTTTTTTTCCAATGGAATGAGATGGTGAGATTAATACGCACGCAAGAAATACATAGGTGAGAGAGCTGTTCACAACTCAAAAAGGCCTCCTTTCCGTACGAAACTATTCTCCAATGTAGCTCTGAATTTCGTTCTAAATCATAAAATAATTTCTGTATATTTACAAGAAGAATGCATGTAGCAATTGTGATTTCTGTATATTTGTATAAATTGGGTTAAAGTTTCAAAGATTCTTGGAAGACACTTGAGTTCTTTTTCTTGAAACTAACCACTCGCTTGAGTATTCCTTTAAAAAAGAAAAGGTATGCCGAGATTTTTCTTTCTTTTTTGGTTCTAAGAATTTTGAAAAACTGGTGTACTAGTTGTTGCAATGAAAGAATATACATGGGTGTTCTCTCGCTCTCTCTCTCTCTCATTTTTTTCGCGTCTACGGGTTCTCTTACATTCTTCTTTTGCTTCTGTAATTTGGTGTTTAGGTATTGAGAAATATGGTTTAACTGAATGGGAAATTCGAAAGGATTCATAGTTTGAGTTGTACTTTTTATTTTATCGGGTTGATGATTGTTTTGATTTTTAACTTCTTGTTTTGCTTTCTTTTTTTGTTGTTCTCTTCGGCAATTAAAGAGAGATATTTTCTGGGTTTTCTTGTTTTTGCAATTCCAAGTTGGTTTCTGTGTTTTGCATTAATTACTCTTTAGTGTGCTGCTGTATTAATTTAAAATGCGTCTTTGCCATTATTTGGTTTGGTTATAATGTGTCATTACAGTCTGAATTCTTGAATTGAATCGATTCATAATTCTTCTATAGTGAAATTTTACTTTTTTATCTGTTGAATTAATACATGACAATAATAATTTGAAATATTATCACAAGTTCTTGCATCCCTGTAATTTGTATCTTTTGGTTGCTGAAACTCCTGTGCAAAACCACGTGGCGTGGATGTATTTTTGTGCAAAGTTCATAAAACTGTTCGAATTCTTCTATTGGATTCTTGAAATACACGACTATTTATGCCTTTTTTTTGTTCTAAATTCATTTGTTCTCATAATTTGTCTTTTTTAATCTACTTACAGTACGCAAATGAGGTATGTTATATAATATTCTGATGTTTTGGATCAAACTAAGCTAAAATATAAATAAGTTTTGATTACGCTTTGAAATTATGATGTTCAGCTGCTAGTTAACATAAATCATGTCAAGGCAAGCTCATCTTCCTCCTCGGTGTCCCGATCAAAAGAAAACCGTTACTCGCCCAGCTTATGGTCCAGTTTCCCCAACTTTATGCAGTATTGAATTGCATCCTGGGGCCCCAAGACACCATAAATCAATCTCGCAAAGCTCTATCTTTGAGGAGCAGCCAGCTTGGCTTAATGATTTGTTGAGTGATTCGGACTCGGATTCCAGTGGAATTTTACACCGACGATCTGCTAGCGATTCCTTTACCCTTTTTGATGGTCTTGGTCCATTACCAAGTCTAGATCAACTAGATGGATTGAATACTCCAGATTCTTGTGAACCAGAAAATGAATTTGAGTCTGGTTGTGCATATGGTCCCAATTCCCCTCGTAGAAAGGACAACGTGGCATTTCCTGAGAATGCAATCGTTTCAGCATTATCCGAATATGTTTTACAAAGTCCTCTGCAACATTGGGATGCCAATATGTGTGTTTCTGGAACTGCACAGCCAAATTCAATAGGTGGTGCCTTAGCTTCAGCTAGTGGGACTAATACTGAGACAAAGCTGATGAAAAGGTCAGATTCTGTACTCAGCATGCTTGTTTTAACAAATGAAATTTCTTCTTTAATTACTTACTGCTTACTAGGTTATTGTAATTTTATCATTATAGGAACTGCTTAAATAATTTAGGTAGAGTAATACTTCTATCTCGGTTCCTGACTGGATTACAGAATTGTTTAAGTAGATGTGCAGGAATTATTGTCCATCTTTACTATAGAAATCTTGACACTTGATGATGTGCTCATTTATCGATTTTTGATCGCATGTTATTTCTCTTGAGATGCCATTTCACCATTACTGCTAGTTGTCTCCACTTGGGATGCATTGTTCTTCCTAAAACTTTCTGTTTCCTAGACTGAAATAATTTTTATTTATAAAGATACAAAACATACAAAAATTTAAGGCGAGACCAATCTGGCATGTCTTCTCCCTCCATAGAACTGAGGAACCAATAGCCAAGCTCACATCTGAGTAAACCCTGGAGCTTTTCATTGTTGAAAACAAACTTTAAATGGTTTACTATGCCCCTCTAACAGGTTAATCTTTTAAATGACGTGGTTCAACATGGAATCAAAGATACAAGCAAAGGTCTTAAATTCAAGTCTTGCTGCTGCACATTTATGAAAATTTGCACTGTCAAGTCTTGCTCCCGCTCATCTATGAAACTTTGTACATGTCAAGTCTTTGATGAAAAAATGAGTCCTCCTTGCATCTTCTCTCAAATAGCTTAAACTTTTAGGTGTAGTAGTTCAACAATTATCTCATTTTGTTTTCATGCTTTTTCCATGTTCAATTGGATTGTAAGGCATCATTTATTCAGCGAAGGTTTTTCCTTGTGATAAATTATGACCTGCATGCAGACATCCTGGACAGCGATCTAGAGTCCGCAAACTTCAATATATTGCTGAACTGGAAAGAACTGTTGACATACTTCAGGTACCTTTACAAATGCAAGTCGTGTTTAGTTAGTGATTATATTTTGTACTCTACAGTTCTAGTTATCTGATTGAAACTAGGAAAATAATAGCCATGTAAATAATTAACGTTTTTCCTTATTTACAAATTACAATTTCCCCTAAAATGGTTTATTTTTATGTGCGAAATTAAGGTTCAAACTTAATACATCATTAACTTATACGTGGGATGTATTTCATCGTCAACTGAAATAATGGCTGTGAACTGATCAAATAATTGGGTTATTGCTACTCATGTATGCGACTCATTTGTGGTTCATCGATTATTTATTTTTCCTGCTCCTACCAATTTTAATTTATTGCTTTCTATAAATGGGTACATGCAGAATTTGGAGTCGGATTTGGCTGTCAGAGTTACTTCCCTGCATGAACGACGTCTTGCTTTATCAATGGAGAACAACACACTAAAGCAGCAGGTGGTGAGACTGCAAAAGGAGAGATTTAATGTGGAAGGTAAACTGTTTATCTTTCTGTTGATTGTTTTCACTTGTTACTAAGTTGGGCGGCACCTGACACATTTTGCTATTCTGTAGTATTCTTGTCTTCACACGAGCTTCGTAATTGAAGTCTTCCGGAAAGCATTGCTCAAAATACCAACTTCCAATCGATTAAGATGTAATTTTGCATAAAAGCCTCAAACTTTTGCAATCCAATTATTATTAAATTTCACCGTAACAATGTAGTTTTGATAGCTTAACTCAACATATTACATGATAATTCTCTTGGAAAATAATGAAGTCTGGCTTTTATACTTGAAGCGGATTCTGTCTTAAGTGCTCTTGTATAATAGGTTGCCTACACTAAAATAACCTGCCCCAAACATAATATAGGAATTAATTGTAGTAGGTAATGTAATTAACTGTATCCTGAGTGCTGCTTATCGTGACGTTCCTACTGAGTTTTCTGGTGGTCCTTGGTTAATCAAACAGTCTTATTTTGTGAAAAACTTGTCGTATCTTCAGCTATTAAAAATCTGACATTACAACTCGTAAATCACCTCTGGACAATGGGTTTCTAAGGGTGTTGCAACTTCCACTTGGGACCATGTTTTAAACTAGGACTAAACTGTCCTAAGACGATGAGTCAAATTAGGTTATCAAAAGTAACTGGAGGCACAATGTAAAATCTGGGCCATGAACCTTCTGAAACTTTTGAGTGTCAACTGAAGCTGACAAGATGCAATGCGCTCTTGGAGCATTCTATAAAAATCTTACAGCTAGACTGCGCCTCGTGTCCAGATTTGTTGTATCCAGTACTTGCTAACAGTACTGATATGTTTGGTATATCTGAGTTGAACTTTATTTGATAGAATTGAAGCAGAAAAATAAGTCAAATCTTGTTCACATTCTAATACTGTTAACGCCTAATACCTGTGATGCATATCTATTGACAAATGATTGAGTAGACAAGAACGAGCAGAGGAAGAACAAAGTCAGTGAGAGGTTGATCATTCTGCATATGCTAATACTACCCTCTGTCTCTCTGTCCAAGTTTGTCCTACGCTTATTCCCTATTTCCCATTTATGCAGGTGAGTACCATTCCCTGAAGAAAGAGTATGAGAGATTAAAAATGTCTTTACCTTATTCATCTACTACTAGCAAGCTCCACGGCCTGTCGAACTCTGCTGCTGATTTAGCTTGTTCTGGAGACATTTGGCAAACATTAGACATGGGCAAACTTGATCTGAGCTGACATGGTAACTGTAATGGAATAGTGTGCTTCACTGTCCTAAGCTCTGAAAATACGGCTCACCCCCCCCCCCCGAAAGATGGCAGATGGGTATGTAACATGTTCTTCTGGGGGTGGGCACACGTCTACTTCTGGAATAAGTATGTTGGCAATGACGAAATGTTGGCTTGAACTGCACTGGATAGGATTAAAGAAGGTAGAATTTGTGTATTGCGAGGTGTATAATATTATCTAATACTGTACACCAAATGTGCCTTCAGGTTCCCTGGCAAAGCATTTGGACTCAAAACTGTAGTTGTAGCATTTTTATGACAACTTGCCTTTCTGCTGGATTCTCATCCTATTCAATGGTCAGAGATTGACTTGATTCAGAATGAAATAGTTCATATTTTGCCAAGCACGTCATTAAAATTTTAACTATTCTACCACTACCTTTAGTCAATTCGGCCCCCTCCCCGAAAATGAAAATAAAAATAATAAAAGGGTACAAAAATTAACTTTTAATCCTCATTCCGCTGTTTCAAGACCTTCCCAGGAACCTTAAAAGACATAGCACTGCACTAGACACCCGAGAAAAACCTTAATTCCTTTTTACTGAATCGTATTTATTGTCCAATTTAACGTATCAAAGACACTGAGAATTTAAGCAATTTCATAGATAGCTCGATTCTCTTGTAATGATTTTCGGCATGTTAATGTATTCAAGTTGTTCAACCTAAAGAGGAGGTAAAAACATCTACAGGTTCACCATACCAGCTAAGCTGGTCATGTCCTTGCGAAAGGCCAGCAAAATATAGAGACAACCATTAGGCCAAACAATAGAATGGAAAAGAATCACTACATTAACCATTAACAAAATTTGTTGTTTGACAAAAACTTTACTAGGGTCACCTGGACCCTAGTAAAGTTTTTGCAAAGTTCAGTGACGCCATAAAAATCTTTTGACAAGTTTAGTGATGAATGGAGTGATTTTTGAATGTCAATAACCCCATGTAAACCTTTAGCATAGTTCAACAATGACTTGGATGATTTTTAAAGTTCAGTGACCCCGGTGAAAACTTATTGTAAAGTTCAGTGAACATTTGGATTATTAACCCATAAAAATGCACACGTATTACAATAAAGGTCGAGTAAAATCTTCAACTAATTAAATTTTTATTTAGAAATACATAACGAGTGCATATTGCTAGAAAGGCTGAATAAAATCCCTTCTTATATAAAATAAAGGAAAATTAAGTCCCTCCAGACGATGGCTCAGTTCATTACAAACTTTGGAAGTTCAAAATCATATATCACATTTTTGGCCCTTGGAAACAGAAACACCACAATAATTCAGCATTTATCCTTGGAATGTTCTACTCCTCGTGCAGGTAAGAAGTCAGAAAACTATGACTTTAAATGCTTTTAACATTCACAAAAACAGTCCAAAGCACGGATTAAATGAGTCATAAAAAGTTAAATGAGATTTTTGAAAGAAGAAAACATGTGCAAACTCCCAGTACATACTGTTTGTTGCGCATCTTTAATCCCCTCAGCAGCAAATGAAACTTGATCTAGGTTGAACGTCTGATTGTATAGCATATCGCGTTGACCTTCATACCTGTACAGAAAATCCAAGAAAGATGTATATATCACATCAACACGCATCTTTCCGTGTTCGGAATAATTCCAAGTGCATATTGAGCAAGACCAAAGTCAGTGAAGATCATGATAAATTAGGATAAAAAAGTTCTTCCAAGTGTAGCATAATGTCATTCATTTCCATCTATCTATGTAAGCAATACCCAAGACTCGAATTCAAGCAAGGGTGAAGATAGGTCACCGATATAATAAGCAACACATATAAATGCTTATCCCAAAAGATGATAAACATTCTTACTATTTCAACCAAAACTAACTTTCTGGCAAAATATATAACATGTGACTCTATTTCTAAAAAATGTAGAATTTCAGCTATTAAAAGGTGAAATGTGCATAAGGAACCTCACTAATCTAAAGTTTGCGATAACAAACAAATGCAGCAACATTTATCTTCCAGAAATGCAAAACATCACGTTATACCATCGACATAGATCCATGAAATATAGACTCACCATCTTTCCTTAAAAGTAGCTTATAAATTCCTTTTTCTATACAGTCAAAGTCGAACATTAATTTTCACCACACATTCCTAACTACTCCCAATTTATTATCCATATATTTCGTGAGACCCGATATTATTCCTCCTCAAAATTTACCAATAAGTTTACCCGAATAGAGGCACAGTACAGATCCCATGAAAATCTAAGAAAGTATGTGTTTTCACGTGATACATAGCTATCACTCAGAATCATTATTTATAAATTATGCAAAAGTAATCGTCGAAGAAACAATTGGAGAGCTGAGTATCAGAAGATGAAATACTATTAGAATTTCGCGCTGAGCTTTTGATATTCATGTCCTAGTACTACTGAAAGATGGAAGATGTTGAACAAACAAGGATCCTTCAACTTCCCTAAATCTAAGCATTACATTGAGCCCTTGTTAAAGCCCCATTTTTTGGGAATAATTGATTTTGTAATAGTGATTTTTTTTAAAAACGTGTGGTTAAAAAATTGGAAAAATATGTGGGTTTAAATGCAAAATTATTTTATTAGAAGTGTGTAATTGAAAATGAGTTTGAAGAAAATGGGGTTCAAACAGGGGCTGAATATACTGAATAAACTCTCCAAATGTTGAGGCTTACTGTTAAAGTTCCTTCAATAGGAATAGAACTCATCGATCTAGCCAAGAGCAGGTTGAATATGAAGACAGATACGATGCTGCTATGTGGTTAAGGTGACCTCATAACCTCATGTTTTTGCCTCCCAGTTTACTCATCACATGAGTAGAAAGAAAGAGATAAAATGGAAGAAGCATCAACCTAGTTTGGCTCATTATCATCTTCTTACTTGTATAGGTTTTTAGAAAAAATGTATTTTTCTCAACTACACATTCTCCAATAAAATAATATTATACGTAAATACAAAATTTTTCCTTATTTTTTAACCACACATATCCCAAAAAATCACTATTCCAAAGTATATTTTCCCCAAAATTTATTTTTTATGGAGCCCAAAAAGGGGCTTAATCTACACCTTTCAAATTTGATTTAAGATTTTTTCCTTGAAAATACCCATTACAGCCGAGTCATTTCTTTTAGGGTGACTAAATCCACAGTCCACCTCCCTGAAGTTTGTTCAATAAACACAGACAACCCTTGCGATTCCAATAATAATGCTATCCTCCGCAATCAAAGATAGCCGTCAAGAAAAGGTATCCCTTTTAATATTTACACGAAAAACCCTAGTTGAGGGAATGGAAATGTGGGGAAGAAGCATTTATTAAGGCCTATTTACTTTTTTTTAAAAAAATCCAATGCTTTCAATTGGCATAAATAAATACAAGGGTATCATTATATTTTCAAGCCTTTTTTGTGCTAACATTCCTATGTGACATCATACAAGCATTTTGTTAACATGAGGGGCATTTGTTATATAGAGGTCAATCTGAGTGAACAATAATAGGCAGAGCCACAAAGGGTCTTCTTGTATATTGAACAAAATCTCAAGGAGGTGGATGTTATTAATACTTTATTTCCTTCTTAAAGTTTCGCTTCAAATTAAAAGAAAAAAGAAAAAGCGAACAAATCTAACTTTCCCTACTTTATTTTCTCCCACTTTCTCCACTCTACCTTTCTTTCCCTCAAACATACATCTTCCCCACAATTAGGTATAAATAACTTTAGAAACTTTTTGTTTATCATGTTCCGGGAGCTACAACTCTATGATGGTAATTCTCAAAACTACTAAAAGAAGTGAAGATTACGATGTACTTAGCAACATAGTGTTAGTGGCTTAATCTTCATTTAAATCAAAACAAATGAAATGTGGATTACCTGTGCTATTATATAGTATAATCAATTGAACAAGATGATACACTAGAAAATCTGGAGGTTGTGGACGTCATATTCAGTGGCATATCTACTGCTCAGTTTCTGATCTTCATAAATGTCAGCATAATATTGGGAATTCATATTGAACGTTTTTCATTTTCATCGATCCCACTGAACATCTTAATATTTCCTCCCACTATTTTGGAAGGTGGATTACCTTGAATTCCTATGGAAGAAGGTCCTCTAATCCTCACGCAGTAATATAATAATTCTTAAGAATGTCGAACAAGTTTTTTGATGTACTCCCCAAAACTATAACTCTAATGCAATCTTGTACTTGTACCCATGTAAATTTCCAATTTCAAAAACAGATCCACATTTCAGCATGCTGATAATCCAGAGTTGGTAAAACCCCACCCCCCCTCTTCCACCTATCATTTTTCTATTAATGAATTCTTATTTTAACACGCTAAAACCATATCATCTAATTTTTGACATTCCACAATCAACCTGCTCTAAGAGCAGCCAGAAATCACAGTTTTTAATTGAAACTTCAAGGTAACTCAGCCTCAAGTAAAAGCATAAACAGATCCTTTGATATCATTAGCAAGAAAAATGTTTCTGATTTCAGTCACCAAAATGTGCGTCTTCTAATTCCCCAAAGTTAAGAAGCAACAAAAAAGAGGAGAAAGTACTTACATTCTCTTCTGCTTGAGAACCCTCATGGCTCGAGCTTTGACGGCTTCTTGCGCTGGACCTGCTCGGGTCCTCTTGATCTGCTCTTTGTATTTAGCCAGTTCAGCATCAAGCTTATTTATCTTCTCCTCAACTGTGTCACCTCTCTTATTGATCTGATATAAACAGTGGAAGACATCTCAACATCTAAAATGAATAGTTATCAAGATCCCAGGGAAGTAAAGCAATCAATTCTATAGTATAAATGTACAGCAACATTCAAAGTAAGCAACAATGTTCTCATTTCACCAACCATGAAAGGCAACCCTTAGAAGCCAAGGTTCAGCATATAAGGAAGATAACAATTTTAATGCTTCCTAATTACTGAATTAATAGTAGTAGGCATTGCTCATGTTTACCGCAGAGCAATTATATCAAATCTTATGATGTGAATCCTTGCATACACCTAAAATGTCAAGCATCGAACACAGTTATAGATAAATTAAATAATGTCTCCATCAAGGTCAAAATCTTTCGATGATAATTTCATTCTTTTATTTTCTTTTAAATGTAGAAGTTCTACAACTTTAAGAGGTTTGATTTTATTACTTGACATCTCATATTCAATCGTCAAGTTTAGGTGAAGAGTTGAAGAGCCTGCAATGAGTATCTAGTGTTGAAAATATACATATTTTTCTTTTGAACACATATGGACAATCAAAGGAGTATTGGACACATGCTCTCAAGAATAGACGCACTTAAAAGCTTGAATAGTGTTCGTGTATGATAAGGACAAGCTTCTGTACTGCAATTATACATCCTTCCTAGCACTTCAGAAACATATTCTAGTTCTCCAACAACTTCCAAACAGTAGACGAATTCACATAAAACTTCTCTGTCTAAATTTATAAAAATAATGGTATAGAGTAACACTAAGCCTATGTTTGAGCCCTTTTTTTTTTTTTTTTTAATGAGCTTTGGTAACTGTAAATTTTTGAAAAACGGGTGGTTAAAATGTAGGAAATATTTTTGGATTTATGCAGTTGAAAATGAATTATAGCAGACATACAAATAACAAAAATGATAAAATAAAATAAAGGCGGTTGAATATGCAATAAATTGCAACATTAAGGGATATGAAATCACAGATCACTCAACAATAGATTCAAACAAGAAAAAAATCCAAATATTCGAGTACAGAACTTAGATACAAATCAATGAAACAAGATAGAAAGCGTCAAAAGGTACGCACCCGATCGGAGGCGTCTTGAACTGTGGGAGGTGGTTCTTTGTCTTTCTTCGCTCCAAACACTCTCCTCATAGCTTCTTCTTTGGATTTCTTCTTCGATTATTGCAGTGAGGATTGGAGTTTCAGTTAAATAGAGATTATTAGGAAGAATTTTGATTTTTTTTATTTGTGTTGGAAGAATGATCAACTCAAATCTACGAAATTGTGATCTGACTTTAGGGGAAGGGGAAGGGGAAGATTTAGCGAAGTTTCCAGGAAATAAAATAATTGAAACCAATGGACATATTCCTGTACGCGTTGAGCATTTGGAAGCTTGTTTACGCGCTAGATATCATTTTGCCATTGTTTGGTACCGTATAAAATTCAAATTTTAATTTAAATCAAAATCAACAATTAATTTTAATTATATATTTTATAAATTTCATAACTTTTAAACCACACATTAATCAACTTTTATCAAAATTTACTAAACCCCCGTTTGACCCCCATTACTTAAAAATGAAAATGGGGGGAATAGTATTTTTTAGAAAAATGAGTGGTTGAAAAAGAAAAAAAGTTTTCGATTTACATGTAATATTATTTTACAGAAGATTGTGTGGTTGAAAATATGAGAGAGAAAAATGGAATGTTCCGTAAAATAATATTACACATAAATGGAAAACTTTTCTTTCTTTTTCAACTATTTATTTTTCAAAAAAAATATTATTTTACCCATTTTTATTTCTAAAAAATGGGGGCCAAATAGGACATAAAAATCTAATTTTAATATCTACCAAACATGGGCATATTTTATCAAATTTTCTTGCATTTTTAGGAATTTTAGAACTCTTAACTAAAAGTTTATTAATGACAAAATTAATCGAATGTCCACCATGAGCATAAGTTATAATGTTCACATGGCAACGTTTGCTATTGAATTCAAATTTTAATTTAAGTCAAAGTTAACAATTAATTTTAATTATATATTTTATGGGCTCCACAAATTTTCGATCACACATTAATCAATTTTTATTAAAATTTATTAAAAATCTGATTTTAATTTCTACCAAGTTGGGGCATATTTTGTCAAATTTTCTTGTATTTTTTAGAAATTTTAGAACTCTTGACTGAAAGTTTATTCATGACAAAAATAGACTAATCTCCACGATAAGCATGAGTTATAATGTTTGTGTGACAACATTTGTGAACATTATAACTCATATCTACCGTAGACGTTAAAGCAAAACCGTTATTAATGATACATTCTATTAGCATACTCAATCAATCTTAAAAGCATATCATTTTGGATTGTACGCATTTGTATACTACCAAATAAGTACCTAAAAGAATAATTTAAAGTGAAGACAAACATATTCTAATCAAAACAGTTATTAATGATACATTCAATTAGTACCCTCAACCCATCTTAAAAGAAAATTATTTTGGATTGTATGCATTTGTATACTACCAAATAAGTACCTAAAACAATAATTTAAAGTGAAGACAAACATATTCTAAGTTAAAAGACTGAATTAAGCTTTTTGTACAGATGAAATGTACAGAGATCTTTACAAATATACGAGTGGCAACATTGCATTGGCTAGTTAAACTTTTTTTTGTCCAATATCTTGTCAACCATTTCTGTATTTGTAGCAAGGTTGTTAAAGACTCAATTTTTATTTATTTACGTCTCGAGAAGGCATCAATGAATCATCTACATAGAATACCATGTAGTTCAAAAACTCCAAAGTAATGTTTATACTATTCAATTAGGCATCATGGACGCTATTTTTGTATTATCAGTTTTTTCTCGAAAACTTCTAAAATCTCGTTTGGCGTGACTTTTACTTTTTATGGAAGAGCTTGTTGAGTAAGTTACATTAGACCAATTTTTTTAAAAGCTCTTTTAGTAGTACAAAGTGTTTCAAAATATCATCCAAACATGTTCAAAAACAAGTTTTTAACTTCAAAAATCAAGCCAAACTGGCTCTTATGGTAATTGTAGTTGAGTATTTATATAGTAGAATATATTTTATAAGATAATTTAGACATTTGTCCTTTCATTAAATATCTTCTATGCGTGCGATATGAATTACTAGATAAGATTAAACAAGATAGACATGCAATGCAACACTCGGTTTGGGTTGAGTTTTTCATCATTATCTCCTTCATTTCTTTCTTATGTGCAATCCACCATGCTACAACGTATGAACATTATGCTTAGTGTAAGTGTTATGCCCTAGATCCAATCGATTTAGGTTGTAAACGCTTTTAATATGTTTAATGCATTTAATTTTGCCGAGATCTATTATTTATTTAAATTAATTTTGTGATAAATAATATTAAATATACGAATTACATATAATTGGATCTTGAATAAACCGTGGTCGTAAGTAATAACGAGATACGAATTTCGTTAATACAGTTAGACCATCACGTGTGGCATTTCTTACTTGTGAAGTAAGTAGCTGATCTCACGAGCTAAAGTGTGGTGACACTTAAATGAACACGTGGATGTTTTGTTATAGAACAAAACATTGGAGACCCGCTAAGAGATTCCACATAGATAACTATCTGAGTGTCAGTGGTTAATCTCTAACGTTCGGCAATGAAATTGGTCCTACAACTTGAGGTCATCATAGTACCTTATATGAGGACAGTGATATTTTGACGGTGTTGGATGTTGCTCTGCCAAAGGCCGCTAATACGACATCGTTCGGGTATGTCAAGAACCATATGAAGGTTGTGAATGATCAATAGAGGATTTGTTCCTCTTAGATAGTAAGAGATTGTGATCTGCATTTCATTCAATTAAGTCAATAACGAAATTCTTGGCCAAGGTGTACTTATAAGTCAAAAAGAGTTTTCGACTCATATTGACTTAATAGAAGAATGAAAGATATGATCGATAATCGAGATTGACACACTTCCATATCTCGTAGTGGATCAGATCATATTGACGAAGGGATTATAATTTCATGATAAACGAACAGTTTTGGTTTTGTCATACCACGTGACATTTCCTGTCACATGTGTTGCCCTGATACATTGCTAGATGTCAATCTGGGACGACGAGTATGAATCTGTGATAAATTAAAAGAGTATTTAATTTATTAGTTTTGATTAGATCAAAATAATATTTTACGTCGTTAGGTATCGTGGTCGGGAACCTAATGGGTCGCACACAAAAGAGAATTGATAGGTTGCAAATTCCCAATTGACTAATTTAACAATCGTTGGATAAATTAATTAATTGGATTTGTTATTTATATTCCCGAATTAATTAATTAGATTGATTAATTCACGGACCGGGTTTTATTAAATGGATTAATTAAAAATGGACCGGATCTGGCCGAGCCCGTTTGGATTTATATAAATATATGACTAGGGTTTGAGATCCATTGGGTTTTCAATTATTCTTGCTGACACAAGAGGAAAAGCCTAGCAGTTGCAGTCCATTCTCTATGTGGATTTCATTGGAGGCTGGACAATTGGACAGCTGTGAAGGGCAGATTCAAGTTGCTGGAAAGGAATAATGCGAAGGAGTTTGCAAATTAAAAGAAAATGTATATTTCTTATCACAGTTTTTATCTAAATATAAAGTTGAATCCTGAATGGAAATTGAAATTTGTTAAATTTTGCTGTGCATGTTTAAGTAAATTCTCATCACTTAGTCAATCAATTAAATATTAATCAATGCTCAATCGATTAGTTTTGGCCTAAAAAATTCGTTTATGGCATCAAGACAGCCACAAAAAAAAAAAAAAAAAAAAAGGCACAATGACCATCAATCTTTTGTCATTGGATTCAATAGACGATCTTGTTGCATTCACTATCAATGGAATCAGAGGTGTTTTATGGACACGTTCCTTATTTTTAAAAAGGGATAATGATGCCTAAATCGTCGAAGGTCGAACGTAAATATGATGCCTACGACTTTCCACTGGTCGTGCAAGTAAATGTTAAACATTATAATATGATATTTATGGTCTGTTCGGTAGTGATTTTGAAAATCAATTCTTTTATCGTTAGAGAAAAAAATGAATCTTACCTGTAAGTGAAAAAAGTAAAAAATGACAACTGACTTAATAAAGTAACAATAAAAAAATTTGATTTTTTGGGTGAAAAATTAGAATCAAACGGGGGTCTTAATTAAATTTCTATATTTAATACTTTCAAGTGTTGCCGGTATGGATGTACGAGGCTATCCCGACATTGGCAGCCAAGTTGGCGATAAGAAAGTATTTAGCCGACAGAAGAGGCTCCTATCTCGATTCTTATCTAGATAGAGAGTGTGTACATGGCTTTATATTTTATCATATTTTATTTGATAAAAGAATGTACTAATTTTAGACCTTCTTATTTATTTAAGAGCATTATCCTATTAAACTACAATCTCCGTCCTCATCTTCTCTACCACAGCAGGAACCTGAATTGCATCGATCTTTTAAATCGAGTTGATCTCCTAAACCTAATCGATCTTGTATATGATGTCAATCTTTTTCACCTCTTGCACCACACTCGCGTTCTACTATATCCTCAAATATTTATTTGAGCATTTAAGTGGACTCATGTCAGCAACGGACACAGAGAATTACAAGTTATCGACAAATATTGTGCAATTTGAGACAGATGTCCTACAATCTAAGATATGAATTTAAAACATGAAAGAGTGTGATTATTGATTGGGCCTAACCCTACCATCAGACAGTTGTTGCAACAATGGAATCCAAATGGGAGATGGAGAGGATGGATAAGGTGCTTGAGCAGACTAATAGGCCAGATAGTCTATACAAGAGGATGATGGAGATGGTGGAAAATGGTGTAAATGAAAGGGTTGGAGAGGGTAAACGAGAGGGTAAACGAGAGGATAAAGAAGCTAGAAAGCATGCAAGTAAGATTATGAAGCCGAAGGTATTGGACAAAATGATGTTATTACTATCACAACATGTTAGTTCTTCATTCTCAATCAAGGCGAAGAAGAAAATAGTCATGAACGTCAATATATTCCGCCAGGCCAATCTGATTAAGAAGAAATCATCCCCTAAATCATAGAGAGTTCTAAGATGTGGATAGACTTTCTACTTTCTAGTGTTGAACGTGGATTGGTATTCAAAAATCATGAATGCTAAGAAATGGTTTGAGGATGTGTGAAGGATGAATCTTAACCACCAGATGCTATAAGCACAATCTTATACTATGTATGTTCATATGATATATGTAGTTATTTATGTATCATTTGTCATTGATGTAGCATGTTGATTTGCGATATATTTGCTACAACAGTCGTTTGACTTTTTTGGGGAATTATGGACTGCATGTTCAAAAATGCTCTCGATATCGAGTAGATGGCAATATATTGTGACATGGACAAGTAGCGTTGCCAAATCATCTCTAGAAATGTGTGAAGGGGAAGAGCCTAGGCTATGTAAGAAGTGGGAGGATTGTACACATTATATATTCCAATGATAGCAATTTCACTTTGGTTTTAACATATCATATTGCTAAATTTTAGTTTTGTAATAATGACAGCATAACTTATGAGTTGAAAACCCCTATGCATATTGGCTATGACTACAAGTGAAAATGAAAAATTGTCCAATTGAAACTTTCTACACGTGCATGTGGTGTTATTCAAATTCATAACATATCATAGGTTGGGTCTACTCCTCATGTCAAATTGAATTTGATCTAAGGGCCATATACATTCTTTCTCACCTCGAGAGTTTGGAAAATTTTTTCTTCCATTGTTGGGGTTAGCTCTCTTTTATGTATTTGTGAATTTTCACTTCCATTATGAAACTATTCATGCAACTAGCTGCGAATCCACTCAATTATCGCAAGAGCTGATAGCTTTCAAACTTTCATAAATAGTGATTTCAATGACTATATTATTTGATGCCATTGAATTGTACACTATTCCTGTAAAATTGTGATATGTCCCATGTTCAACCCGACCTTTATTAAATAGTCCATACAGCACACGGTTGACTTTCTATCTCGCCTCTATGATGTGCATCTGGATAAACTTCATTGATACCCTTTTTTATACATTCCCTAGTCAAATATCAAAAGCAAAGTTCTCGACATCCCCGTTTATTGACTACGTCAAATATAAGATGATAAATTTGAATGTTTAGACTTTAGATCATGACATGCAATAATAATTATCATTCCTTCGTATTTATATTTCATGAACGTTCCTTCGGTTAGAATTAGGCATTATATTAAATTAGTAAATCATCAAATGCAAAAGAAGTATTTGAAGCTAATGCTGGCATTAGTTTCAACAAAGAACGTCGAAAATCATGATTAATTCTCCTTATGTTATGACAATATGTGGCTAGTTTAAAATAACTGTTCTCTGATGAACCCATTAAATATTTCAATTCACATTCTGGTGGCTCAAAGTGAAGTATATGAATATAAATTAACATGTTATACACAAATATTGTTCAACATAATTTAAATTTTAATTATATAAATTTACCTATTTTGTTTATAATTGATATTATTATTATTATTATTATTATTATTATTATTATTATTATTATTATTATATAAATTAACATATTATAGACAAAATTTGTTCAACATAATCTAAATTTAAATTATATAAATTTACTTTTTTTGTTTAGATTTGATACTTTTTTTCAACATATATTTTTAGATAAATTATATATATTAATTTAATAAAGGATTTGCTATTTGTACATAAAAAATGTATATAAACCGTTACCGAATATGACATGGAGGGAAAATATTGGATGAAAAAGTTGCCTGTATTTTAAATTAACGAATGATAGAATGCCATGTAATTATTATGTAATCCCTTATATAAATTTTGATGTACATGCAGTAAGATCTTTAAATAAAATAATCATTTGTAAGTATAACCAAGGCCCAATTTGTTTTCCATCAATGTAAAAATGAGAATGAAAAATATAATCGTTATGGATCCCACACAAGAGATAGAAATTCAAATATAGTGACTTGATGTGATGGATAACGATCATATTTTTCATTTTAATGGCCAAATAATGAGAAGCAAACTGGGGATAAATATTAAAACATAGTTCGACTGTGTTAAGTACATAGGCAATAACTTTTCAGTGCTTAGCTATTGCGCATAGATTTTAACTTCTTGTTACAAGAAAGTAAGTAATCACGACATTTGACTGGAATCAACTTGAAAGTAAGAATTCATTTAAAAGTAGTTTTTTATTTTTTAGTGTTTGTTTGGTATTGAATTTGTTAATTGATTTTTTTGATCGTTAGAGATAAAGTGAGTCTTACCTATGAGAAAAGAATTCAAAAAGGACGATTGGAATAGTAAAATAACGATAAAAAAATTGATGTTAATTGAATTAAAATCTCTACCAAACATGTTCTTAACCTCAAGTTATAGCAGCAAATGAACAAAAAAGAGCTGGATATTAAAATCACTAGTTTTGAAATTCACAAATAAAATTGTACCATTGCCTTTGGTAAATTTGTCGATGCTATAGGGAAAAGGCTAGAGCCACCGTTCGCAAATTCTAGTACCCTATCTCACTCTCTATATATATAGGAATGTAAATGAGTCTAGTCAAGTTGAACCATGAGCTGAAATTGAAGGCTCGATTAAAAACGAATCGAGTTCTTTTTGGCCCTAGCCTTGATAGAAAAAATGGGGCTCGACTTGAGCTTTCGAGTTAGACCTTTTCGAGCTTAGCTGGCTCCTTTTTTTTTTTTTTTTTTAGAGCAACAACCCTTTAACCGCAGCTGCCTTATTTCCAAGACACGAGCTGATCAAGCCATGTGGGTCGAGCTCGAGCCAACACTTGAAAATGAGGCTAGGCCCGAGCCTCGATACGGTTCCAACGAGTCGCAAGTTGATTCGAGTTGACTTGAACTTTTTTCGAGTTGAGCTATGAATCGTCCAAGTCGATGAGTGAAATTGACATTCCTACTCTATATGCATAACTGTAAGGGTCCATTTTATTGCAAAGATGAAAATGAATTGCCTAAAAATTGTTTTCCTGAGAATTGTAAATTATTATATTTGATTGGTATAATATTTTACATGAAAAATGTTGAAATAAAATTATTTTTTGGTGTTCGTTTGATTTTATTTTATATGAAAATTGTCAATTAAAAGGATAGAATTTACTGGTATTGGAGATTAAATATGTTTCCATTGTCAAAAAAAAAAATTATCTATCTTTTAATATTCGTTTGGCCTTATTTTATATGAAAATTATCGATTAAACGAAAATATTTTTTACAATAATTTTTAGAATTTGTTTTCACTACAACATAAAAAAAAAAAAATCGAAAAAAAATGCTAGAGAATTGCAATTCCTTGAATTCATGAAAAATGGCTTATGTGGCACAAAATATGGAAATTCAATTCAAAGTAAAAAAATGGGTCTCAAACAAAATTGAAGTGAAAGATGGAACACTATCAAACAATACCTAAGTGATGGATTCGAAGGAAGCACAGCTGCACAAGAACAGAAAATCACCTCCGAGTTTGATTTAGAAAATGAAACCCTTTTTTGTGTTGTCTATCTTAGTACTGTTCTTGGCGATCTCGTTCAGTATAACCAAAACAAATCACTGCAAATTATTCAATCTAAAATCGATCCTTTCTCGCCATAAACTCCTAAAATTTTTCCGTCCAAACCCAATTCAGAAGCAGCATAATCTAAATACTCAAATGCCCTCTGCCGATTCCGAATCTCCGTTCTGTGTTCTATGGATGGCCCCTTTTCTTTCAGGAGGTGGTTATAGCTCAGAAGCTTGGTCTTATATATTAGCGTTAAGCAATTACCTAAAAACCCAAAAGAATTCAAGATTCAGGTTGAGCATTGAACAACATGGGGATCAAGTAAATCTAGAATTCTGGGAGGGTTTGCCGTTGAAAATGAGGAATTTGGCTCTTGAGCTTTACCAATCTGAATGCAGATTGAATCAGACGGTTGTGGTTTGTCACAGTGAGCCAGGTGCTTGGTATCCTCCACTTTTTGATACCCTGCCGTGCCCGCCACTTGATTATGGTAATTTTAAGTCTGTAATTGGGAGGACTATGTTTGAGACTGAGAGAGTGAATTCCGAGCACGTAGGGCGATGTAATGGGATGGATTTTGTTTGGGTTCCTACTGAGTTCCATGTTAATGCTTTTACGCGAAGTGGGGTCGATCCATTGAAGGTCAAGAAGATTGTTCAGTCTGTTGATTTGGAATTTTATGATCCATCCAAGTACAAGCCATTGGACTTATCCTCCATTGGGACTCTAGTACTTGGATCAAATTTGACAGGATTAAATTTGGATGAAAGGTTTGTTTTCTTGAGTGTGTTTAAATGGGAGCATAGGAAGGGGTGGGATGTGTTATTGAAGTCTTATCTGATGGAATTTTCTGGAGTTGATAATGTTGCATTGTATTTGTTGACGAATCCTTATCACTCGGATAAAGATTTTGGTAACAAAATTATTCAGTACGTGGAGGGTTCGGATTTGGAGAAACCAACTAATGGTTGGGCTCGCGTTTATGTTATAGATGAACATATAGCACAGGTTGATCTGCCTCGACTCTATAAAGCGGCCGATGCATTTGTTCTTCCATCTAGAGGGGAAGGATGGGGTCGGCCCCTGGTTGAGGCAATGGCAATGTCATTGCCGGTGATTGCTACTAACTGGTCAGGGCCAACTGAGTATTTGACCGATGAGAATAGCTATCCCTTGCCTGTTGATAGAATGAGTGAAGTGGAAGAAGGACCATTTAAGGGGCATTTATGGGCAGAACCCTCTGTTGATAAGTTGCAACTTCTGATGAGACATGTAATGAGCAATCCCGAGGAAGCTAAGGCTAAGGGAAGACAGGCAAGGAACGACATGAGCAGAAAGTTTTCTCCCGATATTGTTGCTCGGATTGTTCTTGACCATTTACAACAAGTTATCAACAATATGGATTGAGCTTTCAAGTCAAGTCGTATACTGAGCCCTTGGACCTTACATTTGATGGTTCGTTTAGATTGTCCTTTTACTGATAGACTTTATTCGAGACCACGTGACTTGGAAGTCGGATTGAAGCCTAAAATGATCTGCTGATAACATTTCATTTTCTTAGATGAAGATATATGCTATGAAGCACATGCACCATGTTGATAGTCGTGAAGTGATGCTAAAATTCAATGCAGAAAAGATCTGTAAATTGGTCTAATTTTCCATTTGTAAAACCTTTTCGGGGAATGTTTATAATTATTTGGTTGAAATTGTTCCCATTGAATGGTGTAGAATGACGCTTGATGCACCTCTTTCGATTTGTCTTGTGGTTTCTTAGCATTTTTTATGCAGTTGGAGGTTGTCTGAGGGAAACTAGTACTCTAACCTCCATTCAGTAGTTTGAAAGGGAAAGAAGGGAGAGATGTAATATTGCCAAATATGTTCAAGTTAGATTTAGCTTCCAATGACATTTGGTTTAGCCTGAACTAATGAGATTTTTTTTCTATAAAGTTTTGATGTGGTTTTGTCAAAAACACAGTGGATGTGAAGCCGAGGGAAAAGATAGTAATTATTTTTTTCTTGCTCCACCATTTAACAAATGACAACCACAAATACTTGCTGTGTAGTTTGATGAGCTCCATTCCAAGAAAAAGAATTAGCTGTTGCGTTTCCTCTGAAGTATATGGGCTGAAAGATATGGCTTATTTCATGATGTTAACTTGCTAGCCTGATGTCGACTCTAGATATCCATCACTTCTTTTAATAATCGGCAGTCATTCGAGGTAGCTCGACAGAAGGCTAGACTGTCATTGGCAATGAAGAGGTGGATAATTTGGGATCCTCAGTAGGAAAAATTGAACTCTCTAAATGTACGAGTCAGTTTCAATCCTTCAAAAGAGACACCAGAACCCTTATGTACGTAGGAGAAAAAGATATAGGAATGGCGGACAACCTTCTTGTAATCCCCGCTTCAGCGTGACCGGGTGTCAAGGATCACAACTTTACTTAGCCCCTTGACACTATTGCAGAAGAAAAAGATATAGGAATGGCGGACAACCTTCTTGTAATCCCTGCTTCAGCGTGACCGGGTGTCAAGGATCACAACTTTACTTAGCCCCTTGACACTATTGCAGCCGTAGTTTGCCCAACTTCGGCCGCACATTGTAAATATTATTTCAAATTTGAGTTGTAATTTTCTTTTCATTGTAATAGTTATTTCAGTTGTAAAATAGATTTGATATTAGTAAACGTTTAGTATGATTCCTCGTCTTTTAAACGTCTACTGCTGTCACTTAGGTTTTTGTTCAGAATGTTATTATAGGAGGTATTAGTCATTCAAAAATCTTTCAAGCTCACATGTGTCCGTCCCCTGCACCAGCAATTGTAATTTTCTGCTTTTGTCAATTGTAATGTTCATTTTTCATCAATCAATGTTCAATTTACTTTTAATACATTCAAATTCTCTATTGTAAATTTTCTACAAAATTGTAATCAAATTTTCTTTCGTCCCGACGCGATAGAGAAAAGGCGGAAGGTAGTCTAGTGGAGTAGATTATTGCCGCACGATGTCTTTTTCTGTGCCAAGAAGAAAGGCACCCCGTGAAACTAGGGGTGGCAGTGGGCTGAGCCGAGCCGGCTCGGCTCGAGCTCGTGGCTCGTTTTTCACGAGCCGAGCTCGGCTCGGCCCACGAGCTCGAGTACTCACAAGGCACAAGCTCGTGGGCCGGGCCGAGCTGAGCCCACGAGCGGCTCGCGAGCTCGTGAATTTTTATTTTTATTTTTTCTTTGCAAAATTTTCCAATTTTATTGATAAAATTTTAATTTTTTCCACTTTTTTGGACGAGTCGACTCGTGGGCTCGTGAGCTCGGCCCACGAGCCGCTCGTCGAGCGGGCTCGACTCGTTGGACGTGACCCCCCGCTCAGCTCGAGCTCGAGCTCGGGCTCGTCAAATAGCAGCCCACGAGCCGAGCTTTGACAAGCCGAGCCGGCCAGCCTCGAGCCGGCTCGGCCCAATTGACATCCCTACGTGAAACCGGGCCATGTGACACTCCATTACTTTAAGAAAGATGAGGTACATTTCTGAGCAAGTAGGCTCCATTGCCAGAGACGCCCATCCTTTTCATAAAATATTTGGATAAAATCCATTCAATGCGATCGTATTTGCTATTATCTAATTTTATAGTCTAATAACTCAAATTCCTATTCATTTGCCTTTTCATTGAATGCCCGAACTCAAAAGCCGTAATGGTATTGTTTATTCTCCTTATTTTTTTTAAAAAAAACTACTTTTTACAAAATATATTTTTAAAAAATGGAACTCAATTAAGGGCGAAGTTAAACAACTTTTTATCAACACATTTTTGTATTAAAATTTCTTTAACAACTCGTTTCTATCTATTGATAAACACTATTGTATAGAAATATTTCACAAATATTCTTTTAATAATTGTCGTACATTTCGTAATGATTTGTTGAGCTGTGTTTGAACTCCTTTTTCCAATGACTTGTAGAAGAAAATTTTCGTTCTATCTTTGTTTACATCGACACAAAATTTATAAAATGAGAAAAGATAGAGAAATTCTATTGCATTAAACGCAAATAAATTAAAATAATAAAAGTTGACCATTGAAATGTAGTAAAAGACTAAAAGAGGAGTAATAGAAACGGAAAACTGAAACGGAAGGAAGTGAACGGCAACGGGAATCTAGTGCCAATGAGGACCCACACACCCTGTCAAAGCAAAGGCATCAAGTCTGTCGAAATCCACTGTCAACCAACTCTTGGCCCCAACCACCCGCCTACCTCATCATTCAACATTTTCTTTTTCTTCACTCCTCGTTCGTTTCATTTCTGTATTTAATTAAGAAAGAAGAATCAAACAGGATTATGTTTAATTAGCTTTTATACACTAAACTCAAACATTTTATCAATCATGACTACGTGTTTTTATGCCTTATTTGAATTCGAGTATTGTTCGTTTAGGCTTTAATTTTGAAAATAAGAATGGATAATTATATTGTAATACTGCGTGTGAAAATCAATTCAAATATCTTAAAAGACCCCACTAACCTTTTGTAATGTGCTTACTTTGTTCCCATGAAGAAAAATAGAACGATAAACGCTTATAATCAAAACTAAACAAATTAGCATTCTTAAAACATATAAAATTTATCTTTTAAACTACCATTTTATCAGAATAAATTCAACTTGTTGATCAAACTTCCTATTTATCAAGATTGGAGCAACGTATAGCTAGATTAGTAAATCTTTCGTCGTTATATAATTTATTATCAACAGCTCTAAGCGTCTTCAAACTCTAAAGAATTGCAAAATTAAATTATCAATGAAAAACTCAAACAATAGGATCAAACCCAATTCAAAACATTAACATTCATATAGGAATTGAAAACAAGAATTCACCTTTTTTTTCCGTAGTAACTTTATAATATAAATTAGAACTTCTTTATTATGCTCTATATTAGTTTGATGGTAAATAAAAGAAATCTTGAAGTGTCTCCCTCAAATTAGGCACCTTCCGGCTTTCAAGATGACGCTGACTTGTCCTAAACACGGTACTTTTCCTCGCAAATCTCTCTAGTGATTCCTCTTTGGAATCAAACACAGGTAGATTTCAGGAGAAATTTAGAGAGAGATTTTAGAGAGCAGGTAGATTTCAGGAGAAATTTAGAGAGAGATTTTAGAGAGAGAGATGGGGGTTCCAGGAAGAACAGCAACAGCAAAAGATGGTGGCGGAGGAGTGGATTTGCTAAGTGAAAAAGCAACAAAGATGAGAGAAGCACTGCAGAAGAGCGAAACAATCACGGATAAAATGGTCTCCATTTTGGGTTCCTTTGACCACCGACTCTCTGCCCTTGAAACCGCCATGCGCCCCACCCAAGTAATTTTTCCAAAACTTGCTCTTATGTTAGATTGGGGTTATGCCCAGTTCGATTTTCTGACTGCTTTGTGATAATCAATGGAAGTCTTGAAAAGATACTGAAAAAGGAAAGAAACCCCAAGTTCTGATTCTCGATCTGATTTCTGTTACTATGTTTTTCATTTTTGTCACTATGGTGGAGTCTTGATGCTAATTTACCAGTTAGTGAACTAGGAAGAAATGTGTTTTTGAGTTGAGTTTGTTGTAAGAACTTGCCTTTGCTTATTTTTACCTTGGGGATTATAAGAAAATGTGATTTTCATAGGAAAAAGATTGCCTTATTTCGTTGTTTCTGATCACATAACAGCCAATCTTGAAATGTGAGAATGAATAAAAAATTGTGATCTGAATCCTTGTAGTTCATCAAGTCTTGTTTACAGTATTGCTGATTTTCAATTCTGCTAACTTGGATTTCTGTATCGGCAATTGCCTCTCTTTAGCATTCTAAATTAGCATTGGATTTTCCATTGGTAGATTATTACCCATGCCATTCAGAGGGTGATTTCTATGCTTTCAACTTACTTTTGGATTTATACAATATGGTATTCTCAATTCAACGCCATATGGTTACTGAGAAAACTGAGGAGCCTTCAAAGAAAGAGCAAATAAGCAATGCCACCCAAATTCTGATTTCTTGATCTTCTTTTTGTATCTTTCTTAAGTTTTGTGGTCACTAACATTGTTAGTGCCAAAACAACTGAAAAATATTCATTTTATGCCTGCTATAGTGCTCCAACTTGCCTTTGTTCATACTTTGAAATCATAAGAAAAACAGTAAACTTACAAGAAATTAAAATTTAACTGAATCAATCCTTTTGAGTCCTGCTCTCTTGTGGGGAAAAAGTGTCGATTTTGCTCTCGAAGCCAGAAAACCACTGAACTTCTGTTTTTCTTTGATAAAGTATAATCCATTGGTGAAATGTGGAGTGTGTATTTATTATGCTTCAAAATTTGAATTTTTCTTTTGTCTGTCATTTCATGGTTTTCATTGAACATTTCTTCTGAATCATATTTGATATTAATTTTGATCTTTTTGTTTATTGACAAATTAGGAGATTTGAACTTATGATCTTTGCTTGCATTTGCTTCTCCTTAGCATTTTGTGATTCTTACTCAGATTTTCCTTTTACAGATCAGGACACATGCTATTCGGAAAGCTCATGAGAACATCGATAAAACTTTAAAGGCTGCAGAAGTCATATTGTCTCAATTTGATCTTTCTGTTCAGGTTAGCATTTACTGAATATGCTATTTTCTTGCTTCTTCGTTTTGCATGCTTCGCCTCTCTCTCACAATTTGGGCTACTATTAAGTGAAATGACCTTGCTCAACTGGTTAATTACTTTTGTCTCCACATGCATCAAGTAGTAGAGCCTTTCTATCACCATGCTATCAAGATTTTTTCTCATCGGCATACATGTACATGTGTGTGTTAATTTCAAGAATGTTCAATTTTCAAGATGAACTTTTATTCCAAATGTACTCTCTGCTGTTTTTCTCACTTCAATTATATGTGTATCCACAGTAAGAATGATATCATAACCATATGTTACAACATTAAAATGGTATTTATTATATTATTTCTATTTGATACTGGGTTTTCTTATTTTCAATTTAGTGCTAGTGTCGAATCTATCTTTAGGATCCGATGTCTAGATACATATAAAAGTTATAGAATACTGTGGTCAATCCATGCACTAAATCCTTAACAAATAAGAAGTTGGCGAGTCTCTCTCTCTCTCTCTCACGTGCACACAGACAGGGTTTGTGAAAGGTGATTAAAATGTGTTACAAGGCATCGCTGTATTAGTATTGTTGGCTGAACAATTACAAGTTGGGAAAAGGCGGGTAAACTGAGAAAATAATTGAATAAGTTTCATCTAGGATCTTGATTATTGAAGACAGACAATAATGCAGAAAATTATGTGCTAAACAGCTAATGGAATCTCCCACAGAGTTTTTGGGAGTCATGCTTGCATCTTTACAGGCCATGATGAGGTATAAGAGGTGTGAAAATCATATTCTGAACAACTTCGTCCATGTTTGGCTCATTTTTATAAACCATTTATAAACACTCAAGCCACTTTTTATCCTCACTTTTCAATGGACCTACAAGTACTATCCACATATTAATCACTCATTTCATCTATTTATAAATTAAATTGTTTAATTACACTTCTAAAACATTTTTTTAGATAGAATAGGTGGATTGCCTATTGTTTCATGTTTTTCTTATCCACTCGCTTGATTTCCATATGCATATCGTTGCAAATTCCAACAAGATTTGGAAAATATTGCAATTAAAGAGACATTTTATGTAAAATTGAAATCTTAAGGATAAACATTTTATGTAAAATTGAAATCTTAAAGATAAAAGCTTTCCTTATACTGTAATGTGGTTTTTTCTGTGATGCTTGGACTCTTCATTTCGGTCGGAGGATTTGACATGGGTACGGGTATGGGATATGGGGCGGACACGGGAAAAATCAACCAGACATGGAAAATCTTGACTTGACATGTGACGAAGTTGGCTTCTTTGAATCTGAGTTCGATGAATCGTCACCAGCTACGGAGCCAGCAGCTGGTGATGTGGTGCAACAGCTAGTGCTGCTCTGCTCGAATTTATAGGCTGGAGGACGAATACTTGCAGAGGACACTGTCATCGCTAGTCGCGCGAAGTGAAGAATAGGGAAAGGCAAACATGATGAGTTTGTTGGGCTTTTTTTTAATTGTGGTCCTTTTGTTGGGGTGGGTCTTTTTTAAAATATTAGGCCCATTATTTGCTGCTGAGGTTAATTATAATTAGAAATCCATTTTGCCCCATCCCCATATGATACGACATCAGTTGGAAGTTGGAGTTTGATTAGGAAGATTTTCATTTGAGGTGACCATACTTTGATTAAATTTACATTTGAGTCATTCAACCTTTTTTCTGACTAAAATTCATCTAACTATTATTTAACTTTTTACATGTGAATTTTTGGAAAAAAATGAAGTTTGAAAGACGTATCCACGTACCTGTGCCCAAAATTTGGACTATTTTTTATTATATCCCCATATTCTACACTTTAAAAAATAAAAGATCCGACACTTAGATATGTAACCATACCTGATACTCATACCCGAGTCTGAGCATCATAGGTTTTTTTAAATCAAGTTTTTGTAGGATTGCATATGAATTGCATGCTTTAGCCGCGTTTGAGTCAACCTATGTAAAGATAAAACTCGGGCACGATGTTCTTACTTCATTTTCTAGGTTGGTTTATCCGCTCATAATGATTGTAGAGTCTTTCCATATTGGAAGGATTGGAGGTTTAATAGTAGTCACATCAAGTCCTCCCCCTCTTACTAAGGATAGCTAGCGAGAGGAATATTTATGATTATCCATGAAAGAAGGCTGGATGGAATTCAACAAACACGAATACAAAAGATTCATAGGGACCTTCAAAAACAAGGGATAGAGAACTTAATTTACTCTATGTGAAAGTTTGCCTTGACGCATATGGATATATAACTTTGGCACCTAGTTTCTTAAGTCCTTTAACATGATATTCTCTTTACTTTTGTTACATTTGAACCAAACAAGTCATTCCCAATGAACTTTGGGGGGTTTAATCCTAGAGGATTACCCAGCATTTTGGTCATATTGGAAATACTATTATTCTTGATATTTGAAGCGTATCTTTCCCCATATTATCATGCAGGGCTTTTTTTATCTTAGCTACAAAAATTTAATGTTGAAAACAGGTTGTTGATGTTTGTGGATGAGGTACTAGGTTTATAGATGGAGGATAGAGTGACAGGAATATGATTGGATTAATTGAACTTTGGCTGTAGAAATGCAAATTAAAAAACAAGGGAGGTAATATGAGAAGAAAAATAGTAGGAAAGAAGTTTCGAAGATCCAGGAGTATTTATGCTCTTTATTCTACCACCATAACAAGTGATATAGTGGATTTCGTAAATGTTGGGGAATGAGGACACTGGATTTTATGAATTGTTCAATGACCAAATCAAACAGTTTGCAATACACTGGGAATCCAACAAAAAGAAACTTGGGGCCAAATCCTATTTTCACTCCACTGCTCCAGCCCAATGAAAAGCTGCTAGGCAAAATGACCATACTACTTTTAACAATAAATAATAAATAAAAAATTTAAACACTTAGGAGTAAATTTTATTTCTTAATGTTTGTTGATACATGTAAATTACAATGAAGAAATTTCTGTTTAATATTTGGTGTAATTATGGTTTGATGCTTTACTTTATCATTATATAGAGAATGCTGTACTCTACCAAAAAGGACCGGTGATGCAATTTTATTGTAAAGATTTCCTAGATTTCCCGAATTATGGAAATACAGGGATACTGGTTCAACTCATGGGTTTGCTAAGGACTTCTAATATAAACAAGTATTTTTTAAAATAGAGAAATAATGCATACACAACTATATGTTTGGAAAGTTAAAACATGCTATAAGTTCACAATGCATCATGCTATGCACACTAACATAGTTATAAAAAGATGAAAAATGAAAAATGCTAATTTTCATCCTTTTTGGCATATAAAATTCAGTTATGCTATTCCTTTTCTTTTTTTGTTTTTTTGGGTTGTAGACATGTCTAATCATTATTTAGTCCCCATTTGGTTTAGAGAAAAATAAGATTTTTAGTAGATTTAGATAAAAGTTGATGGAATGTGTGGTTGAAAAGTTGTAATTCTCATAAAAAGTACGGTTAAAATTTAATTGTTGATTTAAACTTGCATTTTGATTAGCATTTTAGCTGAACCAAACATGGGCTTAATTTTTTAAATCTTTTATCATTCGAATTTACGGTTCAAATTTTGAATAGTGGCACATAGTATGTTCCATAATGTGCCATTTCAATTTTTGTCTTGATGTTTCTTTCATGTGCATATTGTTTTATTAAAATCAACTTATTAAGATTGTCGTTTCAATTCATTTCTCATTGTTTGCTTTTTATTATCTAAAACAATATTTAAAAAGGCTCACTTGGATACTGAGTTGTTTTACCTTTGTGAGGCTAGGGGTGAGCTGATGCCTGAGGCAAACTACTAAAATAATTCAATACAACATAAAAAATGCAAAAATATGCTAATAATAAACCATAAAGCATCTTAAAATCTATAATAAATTTAATTACCATAATTAAAAGTCTAGCTTGCTAAGAGAATGAATGCTCAATACAATTGGTGTACCCAAAATCATGTCCATAAGGTTCTATTTATAGATGTAGAAAGGGTGCAAATGAAGTAGTGTGGGCAAAAACCTGCATCATTTCAAAAAGTCGCAACACTTCATTTCTTCCAACTTTGGTCCGTAATTTCTCATTCATTCGGAATTGGTTTCGAGATTCCAAATATACCACGACAATCTACTCGATGAGTAGAATAAGTTGGTCTATTTACTTTAGTAATTTAACAATAAATATAAAATCCCTAAAAATAAAATAAAGGTTAGATCCAAAGTACTTCATGTCTTCATCATGTTATACAATTGCATTATCCATATCTTCAAAAATGATTTGAAGATTTAAATACACGACAAAAATTGCAAGTTTGAACTTCGGATAAATTACAGCATAGCGTGCAAACAAAGTAACAAACATCACAAAATGTAACACTTTATGTTGTAAATCTTCAAGTGTCGCCATCTTCTTCTAGAATGTCTATATCAGACTCCTTAAAAATTGATGACTGTAAAAGTTATTATTAGTAAGACAAATGATGTATTTAAGTATTTATATTGACGTCCATTTAAAGAAAAATCAATTTACCTCATCTTCAATATCAGTGTCACTCAGCTGTGTACAACATCCAGAGTACGATGTAGGTGATGAATTTTCTAACAATAAATAAAACTTGTTAGTAGTGAAGAAATAACAAAAATAACAATTATGAAAAACACGGATAATTGTATTTTTCGTACCATGAATGTCAGTCCATAACTAATCTCTAGCACACATCAAAGCCTCTAAAGTTTTTGGATGAATCCTAAATTTGTGTGGACTAACAAATTTACCACCGGTACCGAATGCAAACTCTGACACCACTGTAGATACTGGGATAGTTAAAATATCTCTTGTAAATTTTTGCAAACAAGGATATTTTGTTGAATTTGCATTCCACCATGCTAATATGTCAAAATCATTCGATCTAGGTAATAGAGGCTCGTCCAAGAAAATATCAAGCTTTGACTTCGTACTATCAGTACTGGTGGTATGGAAACAAATAAATCAAATTGTACCAACCGATCTTTTTTGTTTATAGACGAAGATGCCTCGGTTTGGGTTGACAATTGAGTTACGTTCCTACTTGATCCATGTCTTGTTTTGTACTCATTTAGCAACTTGTGACAAAATTTTCTAATCTTTTCAATCTCAAGATCCGAAACTTCATTTCCATAAATCATTGGAAAATAATGTACAACCAACTTCATTTTAAATCTTGGATCCAACATACCAGTTGCTGCCAAAATTCCATGAATTTTGCTCCAATATTTTTCAAACCTGTTAATCATACTTGAAGCCATCAATTTGATTTCCTCACAAGGAGACTTCATCCAATCGTAAATTGACAAATTTATCTAACAAATATTAGAAAAATAAAGATTTGATGTTGGGTACTTAGTCCCAGAAAATATTTCAGTCACTTCAAAAAATACCTCCAACCTTTCACATTTCTCGCTCGCCAATTTCCAATCTTCATCACTGGGCAAACATCTATATTGTGACTACTGTAAAGCACTATAAAGCATTAAGTATGTAGAGTTCCACCTAGTTTTGCAATCAAGTGCTAACTTTTTGGAGCAAGAGAGTTTCAACTGACGTGCAAAATTCTCAAATTTTTCTATTCTTTTTGGAGTTGTTGTCCAATATGCAACAGTATCACGAATTTTCTCAACACTCGAGTTAATGATCTCCAAACCATCTTTGACTATCAAGTTCAATATGTGTGCACAACGCATGTGGAAAAAATCACCACTTAACAAAAGTGAACTACTAGAAAGCTTATCTAGTGGAATGTTGATCATAGCATCATTTGTAGTACAATTATCGACAGTCAAAGTAGACAACTTACGATCGATATTCCAATCCAATAAGCAGTCCATCAATGATGTACTCAGTGCCTCAGACGTGTGCGGACATGGCACATATATGAACCTATATTTAAAATAAAAGCAACATAATTACAACAATAATAATTTTAAATATTACATCAAAATAAGCTAATTAATTTATGCAATATCAAAGTACCTCATAATTCGACTTTGAAGTTTCCAATCTTCATCTATAAAATGCGCAGTGATGGCCATGAATCCTTTTTTCTGATTAGAAGTCTACATGTCTGTAGTGATTGCAATTTTGCCTTTGTTCTTCTCCAATAAGCTCATCACTTTCAATTTCTCGTAATCATATATTTTCAATATTTCATTCTTTATAGTATTATGAGAAACGTTCTTAAACAACGGTTGCAAAGTATTCGTGAATCTTCTAAATCCAATATGTTCAACCATTGAAAGTAGATACTCATGCAATATTATCATAGTTCCAAGTTCCCTCTTAGCATTATCTTGATCAAAGGAGTAAGTACCCATTGAAACCTTCCCATAAACTTCCTTTAATGGATTCAATATTGTCTGCCTAATGTCTTTTTTATTTCGGCGTGGACATCTTTTCATATGTTCATGCAAATGTTTTGTCCCATTCTTACTTCTAGCCCCTAATTGTTTTTCACGGTAATTACAAATTGCCTTGTCATCCCCGTTAATGACTCTTTTTTTTTTTTGAAGTGATTCCAAACTGCCGAAGTTAATTTCCTTTTCTTACCTTGTCCACTATACTCCTCCTCATCACACAAGTCTATTAGACCTTGTTGTGTGTTTGCCTAAGACTGACTAGGTAAACCTCCATTGGATAGACTATTACTTGATCGTAGTGGAGTACTTTCAATGCTCGGTACTGGTGTACAATACTGTAATCCAGACATCTGAAATGAATAATGAAGACAATTACTTCCTACAGCATACATAACAATTACTTTAAAGATAGGGGAACCCCAAGATAAAGGATGTAAACTCAACAGAAGTATAAAACCATGTAGAACATAGAAATAATATTAAGTGGGTGGGATCCAATATATTAAGCTTTATATTCCAAATAAATTAAAGCTGAAAAAATAAATTAAGATTTATTCCCATTATATTAAGAGTTGACTACAAGTAACAAGAATCCTGTTTCATTTTTCCTTTATGTTTAGTTCATCATACAATAATAAAAATAAGACAAAACTTCCTATAAATGTTTAGTTCTAAAAGTTGAGTTAAAGCGTGCAGAATTTAACCTTTTGCGTGTGGTTTGGACTCATTCGTGAGAACTATCAAAAATGGCGTTAACTCTTCTAATTTCTATCCCCATTACTATGAACAGCTTTTCTTACAAAACATTTCATTTTAATAACTTATTTTTCTTTCTTATAAGTAAAAAATTAACTTAACGTTGAGTTAAATTATTTAATTAAACTTTGTATATCAAAAAATTATTTTAAAACTTATAAGTAATTTTCTCAATCTTAGACAAAGATGCACATCATAACGTCTGATCTATGTTATATATTATCTTCGTACATAATGTCATATTTTCATTTTATATCTGATTTTCAATCAAGTTTAACCATTAATTCAGTGATTTGACTGAATAAAGAGGCAGATCATATTTGATAACTATGATTTATTACATCTCTATATGTAAATAAGAACAATTTACATTGTCATATTCAAAAATACATCTTCTTGTGATGGTTCCCAGCAAATTATATAAAGTTGATAAGAGTTTTTAGTCAATTAGAACCCCAACTTCTTATCTTCAATAAATTAGTTGGATATAAATTGACAAAATTGAAGGGAAAAAAATCCAATTATTTTGACGGCAAGAGCACTTGATGGACTGCAAAATATGTAAATTAATCTCCAAAGAACACACCATTGCAAAAGCTACTAACCTTTTAGGTAATAAATGAATCCCCAAAACACTTTTGAGTCTTTGACGGCAACAGGAGTCGACGACGGCTTTTTGTGGATGGAAAAAATCTCTCAAACCTAAATGCCTAATTTGGTTTGGTAAATGGTGGTGATCGGTATTTGGTATTTGGGTTGGGTCTAGGCTGAGTAAAAATATTTTGGTTTAGAGGATATTTGGCAGCCTGTAAATTGTAATATTTCAAAAATTAAAATTAAAAATTATATTTTGAATGGGGGTGGGGCTATTGATACCTGCCTCGGGTCAAGGTTTCCCGCCCCGCCCCGCCCCGATGACCCAGCGGGTAATCGGGGTGGGGCCCCTCGGGTATTGGGTTTAACGGGGTTTTTTGCCATCCCTAGTGGATAATGATGATATTAATGAATCGGAAATACTGGAAAGCATGGACCTCTCATTAGCATATAAAAGATCATAATCTTGCATTATTTGTGCTTGGTAGTGAAGTCAAAATTGATTCAGGACCTATGTTCCACTCTATATGAGCCACATGCACAATAGTCAGTTTTCCCTTACTCTTTAGACTTAATTACTATATGCAGGATGCTTGTCATTTATTATTACATATTGTATATCAACCAAGTTATGCTTGTTATTTATTCTCATATATTGAATACGAACCTAAATACATGATACTTCACCTTTATTTCGTGTTAGTTGTTCGTATGTTAAATTAAATTTCTGCTTATGCAGCAAACCTGTTGAATACGAACCAAAATTCATGTATTAAATTAAATTTCGCATTCTCATATATTGAATACGAACCTAAATACATGATACTTCACCTTTATTTCGTGTTAGTTTTTCGTATGTTAAATTAAATTTCTGCTTATGCAGCAAACCTGTTGAACCTGAACGGCTCTTTGAGTGCCTTCCCAATTCTATGCGACCATCATCTGGATCACCTGGAGATCAGGCTGATTCCAGTGGAAAGTTTCCATCATCCCACAGTCATTCTGAGCATCAAAATAATGAAGAAAATTCTGCATACACAACACCGACTCTTATTCCACCCCGGATTCTGCCATTGTTGCATGATTTAGCACTACAGATGGTTCAGGCTGGTAATCAGCAACAGTTACTGATAATATACAGGCGAGTAATAGAATTGGCTTCACAAGTAATATTCTTTCAGTCATGAGCAGGTCAGAAGAATAAGCTGAAAGGTTTAGTGTGTCTTATTCCCATGATATAATTGGCGATGTGCTACTTTCTTCTTTTTTCCTATAATTCTGGCATTTGGTTATCAGTTTGACAATTGAAGTGTTCTGGGAGTATGAGAAAATCACTTGATCATGGTGTTCGGCTGCCATATATCCTTGGTTCTCACATCTCCTTTTATTTCACAATGGTCTCAAACTGATAGATCACAGAAGAAGCAATAAACACGTTCTAAGAAATCAAATTAGAACCTTCATCGACAAGGCACATTTTCCTTATTTATTTTGTTATTTCATGTAGGGAAGCTCGTTCTTCAGTTTTGGAAGAAAGCCTTCGCAAATTGGGAGTAGAAAAGCTTAGCAAAGACGATGTTCAGAAGATGCAATGGGAAGTTTTGGAAGCTAAGATTGGAAACTGGATACATTTTATGAGGATTGCTGTATGTTCTCTCTGAAATGTTCGTGCATATTTGAAATTTTTGTTTGAGAATCTAATTATTTCCAAACAGGTCAAGTTGCTGTTTGCTGGCGAACGTAAAGTTTGTGATCAAATTTTTGAAGGCTTCCATCCCCTTATGGATCAGTGCTTTGCTGAAGTTACTTCCGGGAGTGTGGCAGTGCTACTGAGCTTTGGAGATGCAATTGCCAAAAGCAAAAGATCCCCTGAAAAGTTATTTGTGCTTCTAGATATGTATGAAATAATGCGAGAAATTCACTCAGAGGTATGGGACATTTTCTTTTGTGCAATAAATTCCTCATATACAATGAGAACTATGAGGTTGGAAAATCTCTTATTAGCTCTAAATTTTACTAAAAAACGTATTCAAAATATGTAGATGTTTTAGCTTGGTTTTAAAGAAAATATTTCTTGAGATTCCAAATTGCTCGTGTGTCTATATGTATCAAGTATTTATTATACTCTCTTCATCATAGTTCAATGTCAATCCTACAACCTTAGATAAATTTACGCCCTGAAAACACTATTATGTGACTTGATGGAATGCTAATGAAATTGGAGCTGAATTTTGGCAGATCGAAACACTTTTTAGAGGTAAACCCTGCAATGATATCAGAGAATCGGCCTTGGGTTTGACAAAGAGGCTTGCACAGACAGCACAAGAGACTTTTGGCGACTTCGAAGAAGCAGTTGAAAAAGATGCTACAAAAACTGCCGTAGCAGATGGAACGGTTCATCCTTTGACAAGCTATGTGATAAACTATGTGAAATTCCTGTTTGAGTATGTCAACTCTAAAACCCTGCCTTTTAAATACTTAGTGCTTGTTTGGGCTTCATTATTATCTTCTTATAATTTGAAGTGAAAGTCAAACATTAATTTTAACCACACATTTACAATTTCTACCCACTTATTATTCACATTTTGTGGGACTCTTTATTCCTCGTCACTATATTCTCATTAAAATGAAACCAATACAAGAACTTATTTGGAACTAAATTAGAAAGTCAATAGGTTACTGCAAGTCAGCATGATAATAAATACTGCTATATCCACTTCCTCCTGTGGGTGTGTTCTATATTTTAACTTTCTCTCGGAAAATAGATTACTATTTAGTTGATATACTGATACCACGCTGCGACGCCCCGAACTTAAGCTTCGAGGGTCACGTACTAAACATAATAGCTTCAGTCTTTGGTACATGTTTTTACATAATACCATAAGAAAACAGATGGAAAAACAGTCATCGAACAAAACATACAAAAGGAAACTTTCGATGCAAAACATCTTTGTCCTTAATCCATCATCGCTTATGCCAGCTAACTTCCATCAATCCAACGATCATGGATCTGAAAATTTAGTATAAAATACTATGAGTATAAGAAATACTCAGTAAGATATCATGCTTGAATTTTATCATGATAATACTACACAAAAGAATGCAATCAAACACATACATGCACCTTCCGGCTTGCTGGTGTCCTTCGGACTTGTCCTAAGGCATAAATAGATATCTAACTTTGTGGACTTGTCCACCATATGCATATTATGGCTTTTCATGCATAACTTAAGCATAAATATTACCATGAAAATCATACCCCTTAAGCATAAAAAGTATCTTACCGTAAAATTTGAAGAAACTTCGATTGAGATATGAATTGAAAGTACTAGGCTTTACTTCCTTTTCCTTTCCTTTCTTATTTTCGATTTTCCTCTCTATTTGTGTGTGCAAATGTTTTACAAACTGAAGGAAATTTTTCTCTATGACAATGGATATGAATATATATATAAGGATAAGGATAATGGATTGATATTTTTCTTCCTTTTTCCAATCTCCACCGCCTCACCTCTTTTTTCTTCCATTTTCTATTTTTTTTTTCAATCTTGCTTCTACACATGTTTGGTCTATTACATAAGTGTATGGTGATGATAAATGACAAGTGGGTTAATTATAGGGTAATAAGTGGCCCAAAATTCTAGATTTACAAAGGAAGTCTCTCATTTTCCAAATAATAGAACCTAATCCCCCTACCTTTCATTATTAGCAAAGTGTATCCCAAATTTAAATTTGTATCCAACCTACATATTCAAATATTGTAGATTGTAAAATAGATCCCAATAAAATAATTTAATCATTTAGTTTTTTTTGAAGTCCTAACAAGATAATCCACTTCATTCAAACTCAAACTTGACTTGAATTTCGACTACTAATAATCACTTCATGTATACACAACATTTAGCACTTCATGCTTGCATTCATTAGCTACCTCTAGCATTAACCACTACAAAGGTGGTGCCCCCTTTTTCTTGTGGCCAAAAATAATATTGAAAGTTAAATCGTTATCCTAAAAGAAATTTAAACGAGCATAAAATTTCGGAGTATTACATCCCTCCTCCCTTAAAAAAAATTTCATCCTCGAAATTACCTTGAACTTAGTTGAAAAGTTCTGGATACATGGTCTTGATTTCCTCTTCTCTTTCCCAAGTTGATTCTTCGACATTATGGTTCCTCCACTGAACTCTCACTAACGGAATTTCTTTGTCCTTAATTGTTGGATTCTGCGATCCAATATTGCTACTAATTTTTCCTCATATGTCATGTTTTGTTTGATATCCAATGGTTGATAACTAACCACATGACTTTGATCTGACACATATTGTCGAAGCATTGACACGTGGAACACATCATGAATTGCTGATAGATCTGGGCTGCCTTGATTCTAGTTCTTATTTTATCAACAGCTTGACTAGTTTCTTCAATTATTTCGGGTCCTAAAACTCTTCGTTCCCCTACATCATCCCAATACAGGGGAGCTCTACATCTCCTGCCATAAAGAGCTTCGTAAGGTGCCATCTTTATCGTAGCTTGATAACTATTATTATAGGCAAACTCTACCAGTGGTACATAATTTTCCCAACTGCCCCCTAAATCAAGGACGCATGCACGCAGCATATCCTCCAAAGTTTGTATAGTCCTCTCCGATTGTCCATCAGTTTGTGGATGAAAGGCTGTGCTGAAATTTAACTTGGTTCCCATAGATTCTTGCAAACTTTTCCAAAATTTTGAGATAAATCTTGGATCTCTATCCGATACAATTGAGGCTGGGATACCATGCAAATGGATGACCTCTTTGATGTATAACCGTGCGTATTGATCCATACTAAAATTCATTCTTACAGGTAGAAAATGAGCTGACTTTGTTAACCGATCCACTATAACCCACATAGCATCATTTCCCCTAGCTGATTTTGGGAAACCCATGACAAAATCCATAGTTATATGCTCCCATTTCCATTGTGGAATTGTGAATGGTTCCAACAATCCAGATGGCTTTTGATGTTCGGCTTTCACTTGTTGACAAGTCATGCACCTCCTGACAAAAAGACCTTTATACCGTTTCATATTTCTCCACCAAAACATACTCCTTAGATCACGATACATTTTTGTACCTCCTGGATGGGCAGTATATGGAGTTAAGTGTGCTTCTTCAAGAATTTCTTTCCTCAATCACTCATCTTTCGGCACACACAACCTTCCCTTAAAGAGTAAGACTTTATCACTACCTAATTCAAAATCCTTTCGCTTGCTAGTACCAACTTCAGATTTGATCTTTTGCAAGAAAGAGTCACCATCTTGTGCTAATCTTATTCGATCTCTAAGTGTTGGTCGAATCGTTAGAGCCGCTATCCTGATGATAGTTTGGGTTGGTGGAACAATTACTTCTAGATGTAAGTTGTCGAAATCCTTTAACAACTGATCCTGCGTAGTGATTTGTACTGCTAATTGTCCAACTGCCTTTCTGCTAAAAGCGTCAGCTACTACATTAGCTTTATTAGGATGGTAAAGGATAGTGCAATCATAATCCTTTACTAACTCTAACCATCTCCTCTGCCTCATATTTAATTCCTTTTGGGTGAAAAAATTCTTCAAACTCTTATGATCAGTATAAATGTCACACTTATTTCCATATAAGTAATGACGCCATATCTTGAGGGCATGAACTACCGCAGCCAATTCTAGATCATGGGTTGGGTAGTTTCGTTCATATTGCTTCAATTGTCTGGAAGCGTAGGCTATCACCTTTCCTTTCTGCATCAGAACACATCCTATGCCTTGTTTCGAAGCATCACTATATATAACGAATCCTTCTGGTCCGTCAGGTATTGTTAACACTGGAGCTGTGACTAATCTTCATTTCAGCTCTTGGAAGCTTTGTTCACATTTCTCTGACCATTGAAATTTTATCCCTTTTCGAGTCAATTGGGTTAATGGTCCTGCTATTTTGGAAAATCCCTCGATAAATCTTCTATAGTAACCAGTCAATCCCAAGAAACTACGTATTTCTCTAACATTGGTTGGTCTTACCCAATTATTTACTGCTTCCACTTTAGTTGGGTCTACTTCAATTCCTCGTGCTGTGATTACGTGCCCCAGAAAACCTATTTTATTCAACCAGAATTCACATTTCTTGAATTTGGCATAGAGCTTCTCTTTTCTTAGAGTTTCTAAGACAATCATGAGATGTTTCTCGTGTTCTTCATTATTCTTCGAATAGATTAAGATGTCATCAATGAAAACTATAACAAATTGGTCTAAGTATTCATGGAATACTCTGTTCATTAAATCCATAAATACTGCCGGGGCATTAGTTAATCCAAAAGGCATCACCAGAAATTCATAGTGACCATAACGCGTCCTAAAAGCCGTCTTAGGGATATCGCCTGACTTCAATTGGTGATATCCTGATTTTAGATCGATCTTTGAAAATACTGTAGCCCCCTTAAGCTGATCAAACAAATCTTCTATTCTTGGAAGTGGATATTTATTTTTGATAGTGAGGCGATTCAATTCTCGATAGTCAATGCACAGCCTCATTGTTCCATCCTTCTGTTTCACAAATAACACAGGTGCACCCCAAGGTGATACACTTGATTTAATGAAACCCTTATCGAGAAGCTCCTTCAACTGTACCTTCAGCTCTTGCAGTTCCATCGGTGCCATACGATATGGAGCCTTTGAAATAGGTATTGCTCTTGGTACCAAATCGATGGTAAACTCTACTTGCCTGTCTGGTGGTACACCTAGAAGGTTTTCATCCACAAACTGATGGACAATCGGAGAGGACTATATAGACTTTGGAGGATATGCTGCGTGCATGCGTCCTTGATTTAGGGGGCAGTTGGGAAAATTATGTACCACTGGTAGAGTTTGCTTATAATAATAGCTATCAAGTTACAATAAAGATGGCACCTTACGAAGCTCTTTATGGCAGAAGATGTAGAGCCCCCCTTTATTGGGATGAAGTAGGGGAACGAAGAGTTTTAAGACCCGAAATAATTGAGGAAACTAGTCGAGCGGTTGATAAAATAAGAGCTAGAATCAAGGCAGCCCAGGACCGACAAAAGAGTGATGCCGATAAAAGGAGAAAAGATTTGGCATTTAATGTTGGTGATAAAGTTTTCTTAAAAGTGACACCGATGAAGGGAGTTCTTCGTTTTGGGAAGAAAGGAAAACTTCGACCAAGATTCGTAGGTCCTTTTGAAATTTTACAGAAAGTTGGAAATGCAGCCTATCGAATCGCTCTACCACCGGATTTGTAAGCAATTCATGATGTGTTCCACGTGTCAATGCTTCGGCAATATGTGTCAGATCCAAGTCATGTGGTTAGTTATCAACCATTGGATATCAAACAAAATATGACATATGAGGAAAAATCAGTAGCAATATTGGATCGTAGAATCCAACAATTAAGGACAAAAGAAATTCCGTTA